TTCACAGCCAGGATAACACTGAGTACAAAGAAGGTTTTACAGGCGGTTCAGCAAGAACCATTTACGATATCATTTATTGTGCGCAAGGATTCACTGGAGTGATTCGATATATCGGGCAAAGACGTAGACGGACGTCAAACCGCCATCGGTGAGTTGTTCACTGGTAAACCAATAACCTTTAAAACTGATGTCAGTTTTGGAGGTTAGGAGCTTGCACTGACTTTTTATGGTGAAGGCGGCTGACTATGATTGACCCTGTGCTGTGGTGCCTTGAAAAACGCCAGTTCGGGTGGCCGAATATCTTAACCCTTTTGCTCAACGATGCGGCTTTAATATTTCCACCATTTTTATTAATAGTCAAAATGTGACAGCGACCTATATTTTTTATCACTTGGGACCACTGCAATCCATTCCCCTTGGCTCAATGATCGTCATATTCTACCGTGCAATGTCTGCGTATCGAATTAACAATTAAGCTGAATTTCTGTACATTGGTGCTCTACAGACCAGGTTAAGTTTTTAAGGTAGCTGCAACCAATCGATCCATCATGATTGCGTGTTGCAAAAACGTTCGAGATGAATATATGCCGTTAAACTCTTCTTCATTGGTCGCTGAGATTTTGGGGGTGAACCGTAATAAATCTTCAAGCGAATCCAAATAAATGCTCATGTTCTTGGACATGACAAGGGCATCGACAACTTGGCACTTACACCAGAAATACATTGAGAAACATTAGATGTGGCCTTATTTTATCATGATTATGAAAATAGTCACCAAGCTCAAAATCTACGTAACCCTCAATACCTTTATATGACAAGACAAGTAAGAGGATCAAAACGGAAAATTTCGTTCATTGAAAGGATAAGTTTCCCAGTATCTCCTTTGAAATGTGAAGGCTGATATTAGCCACCTCAATGAGTACGAGTCGAAATTGGTCTGTTCCATGCAGTGGAAGTTTGATACGGTGTCTTTCACATGTCTGAAAAATTGCCTGCGGTAGTATTGACCCACCAAAAGATTAGCCAGTTTTGTTTGGAAACAAGAACGCTGCAGTTGTGAGTCCGAAGTATTTATGTTGCTTTCTAAAAGCGCGAGACAAAGTAAACAGAACATTAGGAGACACCCTTCCCAGTCTAGATTCTACCAACTATTCAGCATTTCAGGCGCAAGCCAAAATGTTACCCAACATGATGTTATGGAAAAGAACAGAGTTTCTATATTCAAGACCACCGAGACCGTGCTCTGCCCACCAAGGACAGGTTTCTGAATATGACCGAATTTTATGGTTGTACGGCATACTTAGATTGGGCTCGTTAGCTGTTATCATTGACAGTGGAGGGAAGGGTAGTTTATATCCATAATATTCAGTCATATATAGGGCATGCATTGGTACTGTGCCTACTCACATAACCAAAATCCAGATTAGGTTGACAAAAGTGCGCTTTTTAGGCACTTTTCAAGAGGAGAAATGCTTTCAAGAACGGAACGGAATATAAGGGTTCATACTACTCCGAAATTAAAGGATTTTACCAGCACCTCTTTACTTGGTTATTTGCTTGAATTATACTGTTATACTTGTCATTGATCTAGGTGTTGAACCGTGAGAAATCACCTACTACACACAACCTATCTATGAACAGGACCAGGAGGATGATCCCGGCGTCTCATATTGTGAAAACAGTGCTTCTTTCAGCGAAGCGTACGCCAGATTTGTTATGTAATTTATGGAAAATTTCTATAGCTGATGCATTCATACTGTGCGTAGCCTGATAATATGTGTTATTAAATCAAAGTTGTGAAGCTCAAACCTGTCTATCTTTGAGAATGCACTGATGACAGGACCTACATGCTGGTCAGAAAATCTGTCTGTCTGAAATCCATGTGACGTGAAATAGCTTAATATAACTTTACTAGGAGGATATGGATCTAGGTATGCTGAGAGAGCTGCTTTTCCAATGGCAAATTTCATCAACCACTACGTTATTACCTTGAACATCTTGTCAGATTGAAGTGAAAGCCAATCGTTGATCACTAACTGCATGTTACAACCCTGCTGTTGAAAAAACGGAAAACTGGGTTATATTAAGTACTGACAGTCCTTTTTGGTTTTTCTGCTGTGTAGCAATTACTCCTCACTGCAGATTTCTCAAAAAGATTGGATCAAAATTCGCGCCCTCAAAAGAAACGTCTCCTGAGGAATGCGCATATCACGACTGTTCCCGAGATATTTTAAAGTACGCCAACAATGAACGAATCTTAGTTTGTACAGAATCGGGCTTTTTAAGTTAGTGTTAAATGTGCTTACGATGTGCGTGTTGTTCTTTTTTAATCTTGGACTCAAAGGCCTTACAGTAGATTTCGGTGTTCTTGAATGCACTGTTGTTTTTGGTAACTTGTGTTCTTATGAATCGTCTTTCAATAAACCTTCAAGATTTAGACAAAATAAATCCCCGTAGACAGAAGATAGGCTTAGTCGTATTCACGTGAACAAAAATGATTCCGTCAATCAAAATACAATTTGACACTCCTGTCCTGATAAAGTTACGGTGTCGTTTCTGGCATCATATTGAGTCAAGGATGTTTGGTTAGACAATAAGCCAGAGCTAATTTAACCCATCGTGACAAAAATCTCGTGGACTTGAACATCCATTCTCCAACTGATTTAGTGGTCACAGGAAGCTGAAGTAAATCATCTGAATTGCTCGTTCATATCTGTCAAATAAACGGGCGGAAATTAGATCCTCTCTTGCTTTAGGCAGAAGGATATTAAATACATAAAACTATTTTTACGTGATAATATTCACGAATTCTATTATAAATGTGAAGTTCTTCTTTGAGCTTACAACCAAGGCACGATCGCCGAATTTTCATTACTTCTATCCCCTACCACCAGATTCTACATAAACATGGCTCTGAGTTCATTTACAAATCTATCGCTTTGAATTACCTTTACTTGAAAGCCGCTCTAACGGAGAAAATGGTGCTAAAATAGAAACGAATACGGATGGGAGCTGACGGATTGTGGTTTTCTGATGTACTCAGCCATCGATAGATCTTCATGAACCCCACAAACAATGTGGTCAGGAAAATCCTTCTAGATTTTATGCCATCCTGCTGGCTTAATCTTTGCCACTGATTTGATAAAACGAAGAATGTTGGGCTGTTCTTCACAGTGAATCGAATGATTCGTTCATGCGAGGATAATCGCAGGTAAACAGATTTATTAACACTATTCAAAGCAGGATGTAAAGGAGAGTACTGCACTGTCGACTTATCTCGTGCGAGAAAAGATTTTCTATAAAAATATTCTATTATGGTATTTATTTCCATTTGAGAAGAACATTTTTCGATGTTAGTGCTTTAGTTGAACAAATACAAAGCATAAATGGTTTCCTAACAAAGATGAATGGTAGTCAGGTTTCCATCATTGTAGTGAACCACAATTTCCAGTCGTCTACCGTTACTGACTTAACCAAAGTGTCTGATAAGCTAGTTGAAGTATCACATCGCCTGCCCCATTTACACCCTCAAGCTAAACACCAATAATCGCGGGAAAGCTCGTGTATCTTTTGTTTATAAATTCAGCGGAATGCCTTTATAACTTCGTTGTGAAACTGAATTTCAGTTATGACAACTGAATGAAAGCAAGCATTGGGTAATTATGGCGGCGCTTAACTGTTTCTTATTTTATGCACCATCTAAATCAGTGGATATCGTTGCTCCCGATGAGGTATGAAGTCAGGAGAAATGCAATGATTTCATCTATTTGCGGAAAAAGATGGTTATTTATTGCCAGTTTAGTGAGATGGAATCGAATCAGAAACCGAAAACCATCACTGTATTATCGATGTGCGTGTACTAATGAACAGTTACAACTATGCGTAACACAGTATTAGTCAGTTTGCTGTAAAATCTTTGACAGAACACAGCCAATTCGGATCAGCTTGGGCAAACAACACTATTTGTCGTCAAATTTATGTTCAATCTGAACCCCACATTGACGGAATCCACCAAATACTCTAACCCTAATTTGAATTTGAGTTTGGTGTAGCATATTCAGCGGTAGAAAACCACCATAAACGTGAGATTCAGCCGGTTTTAGCTAACTTTTCCGTCATAGCTAAATTCAGGTGCAAACTTGGCACATCTATAGTGGATTCATCGTGGCTTTGGAAACAGTCCCATGATAGACAACCCAAATGATTCACCAAGAAGTAGATATTCGTAATGTGGAGCTACGTACAAGATACATGATACCTTTCCACTGGGATTCAAATCAAGTTTCGCATTTATTCGAGTGCGCATGTTAATTTTGATGCGATTGCGGCTAGCAGCTTCCGCCTTTCTTGATGTTTACCAAAAATACATTTTAGAAGCCAAAGTCAGGATCCTGAACGTGTTTGTCTGACGTTCCCGTTCTGGAGAAATCGGTGAAAATACTAAATGACTCCGTGTGGTAAAAATCTCTTAGACCAAACACATTATCAAACAGTGGTTTTTGCGGTTTACCGACAAGAAATAAGCTTATCATGCTGGTGTAACGGCGGGTATTATTGATTAGGCATGTAAGTAGTATGTGGTCTTCTCATAACTTCGCCTCGCATCTAATGGAGGGTGGGATTTATTATAGAACTTGTGGAACTGCTTTGCAGCGTTCGTTTACGATTGTGAGATAGTCAATGAATAATAATGAAAGTTCGAGAAGACGCGTGAAGATGTTCAGTTTGTTTTGAGACTATGTGCATATGAGATGCTTACTTTCTTGTCCAATAGTTTGTAGCTGTTTAGTAGGTGTTTACTAATAAACGACTCCGCGGAGAATGGCTTTCCTGCCTTCAACCCCAGGGCCGTATAGATCCATCCTGATTAGGTGAGCTCTCTTGTATACATATCAAACATTTTGAATTGTTTGGATTAGCTGGACAATTGAGAAATATTAATTTATGTTGATGAAAATATATGACACAACCAAACAGAAAGCCCGACAACGGATTACTTTCTCTGTAGGGTTGTCAGGAATCCGATCGTGACAACGCTGATGCTCGTAACCCAGCTCTTCATGGTGATGGAATTTCAGCGGGCGAGCGCCTTTATGCAATAAATTTTATTTTATTTCCATAGTGTGCTTAGAATATCTGCTTAAGAATTGTTCATCTTATTTACAAACATAAAAAATCGGCCCAGTTTTATCTAGTGTTTATGGGTGGAATCTATGTCGCACGAGAGAATAATAATCATTCTGCATTTACTACCTTCTTTTTTCAAGACATCATATTTCGGTCGAAAACTATCACTCCGTAGGTTCAGCTTGCAATCTGAAGCGATCTAATACTGTGCGAGTCCAGAGTACCTGGGAACCAACCAAAAAAACTGCTCTTCTTCGCTACTGTATCCATCAGCCTCACATCGAAAGTTATGCACACGCCAGCCATTTTATCCATGCAGATTTACAGCTTCCTTTGTGAGTGAATACTTAAAAAATGGACGTCGAGTTGTTACTCGATGCTCTGTTGGATAGTGTTCTGATCCTTCTCGTGCACTGGCAGAAGGATGCACTAATGTAGTGTTGCAAGCGGGGCCTGGTTAATGGTTATAATCAGGCCACTAGGTTTCGGAGTTGAGAAGTTGCCGCTGCAAGCTCTCGGCCGCGCTAACGTTGTTGGCTGGTCCGATACTAATACAGTGCTCATTTAAGTCGCGTGTGCAAAATTAAGTGAAGAAATATAAAACTACTTTCACAGTTTACGGATGAAAGCTGTGAAATATGAATACATTTCGTCCCAGTGGGTTGTAATTTTTGTAAACAGGGTTAAGTGGTTGGATAAATGCATGCACTATCCTGATGAAGATAAAAAATTGTACGCATAGAATATCTCTTTAAATTCACCTTAGAAACACTTTATTCCAAAGGCTGAAGCTGGCCTACACTTATGCTGTTGTCATTTAAGTGCACGGATCACTGTTTTGGGAACACTGTAGAAATTTTTCTCATTTCACGTGCAGAAAAATATCACATCCAAAAATGTTGATTTATTAGTCCAATGTGTCTACTGCATCCACGCGATTCTGTTAGAATTCTGCGCAACAAGTGAATCGCCACGTACACTCATCCGCAGTCATGGTTGGATGATCACACGCTTTCTGTCTTCATGGTGATTTTGTAATTGAAAATAACCACCGATAAGAATCCTTACTCAAAATTGCTTCTCGCGAAATGCTGGTCAGTGTGTGCTGGGGATCACGATACGGAACTTCTAGTCACGTGTAAGTTTTATGATCCTGCATATCGGAAAGAAAGATTTTGGCTCGAAAGCCTGCTGTACTATTTCCACAAAATCGAGGAAATGTATACAACTAACGTTAGTCGTCTACGTTCGTGCGCAAGTCTGTCACTGACCGGCATAATGCAGTGTCAAGGTCCGCGCTCTAAACCATATACGAACGGAATGTTGGCTCCATGGTGTACATTACGGCATTCCCTTTGAAAGCTGGTATCGTGATCCCGGTTGGCGGTGCGATAAAATGGGAACACGACAGAAGAAGCCACAACGGGCTCAACAGACGGGGCACGAAAATGCATGTGTATGTAGGTCAGTTCACATACACACACTTGTTAGCATACTGGTGTCTGACAGGGCGGCCTACGCGGCAAGGTGAATGAGGGGTACGGATGTGCAAAAGCAAATAGAAACCAAAAGTACATGCACGGATTGAGCAAATGAATGGGGGAATCGTCACGTTTCCATTTCAAATTCAATAGAAGGTAACACAGAATGGGTATCGTCCAGCTTACGTCGTGAACTCAGTCTTAAATCGCTTGATATTAGGTAAAGTGTCTTGTAAAGTTGCATTACGTAAACAAGTAGCGTGACTATCTTGATCAACAGCAGTTGTTATTTGTGGCGTAGTCGTGTCACGTTGCCGGCGTGTTTAGTTTGGGAGACCCTTGATTTATGACAGTCGAGATGTTTCATTTAGTTACGTTACTCGTCTGAGGCTGACGCGGCAACTGGTATTCCAGTGACTTGCTTGGCATTCGTGTGTGCTGTGTATCAGAAACAAGAATTCAAAATGCAAGCACAGTGATTTAGCTAGCCGCTCAATGAGTCTCCACTCGCTTCCGGCTTCACCCCTCTGGCGATCCAGGGGCTGCCGCTGAAGGATGTGCATAGGTCGGTATCGGCATAAATTAACGGACGGAACGATCCTTGCTTGACTGAATACCCGTTGACCGTCGCCTCTATGTGGTAACATCTATGAAAGAGTCTCACTGTCGTGAAGCTGATCGATGTTTGTTTGCCGTGTCTGCTTACAGTCCAGCAATCTGTGGCTCCGAAACCATCAAAGACAAATTTTATGACGCCCTGAATGCCCTGATGCGGCAGGCTAAGTCAGATATCTTGGTGGTTACCAGAGATCTAAATTTCACAAGCAGTTAGGCCTATAGATATGTGTTGATTTGTGTAACTCACCACATCACGCAACTTCCCAATGGTTGGTCGAGATTTTAGAAGCCCTACGCTGACATTTACGCTGACACTTTTGAGTCTGTGGACCAGATAAAAGATGTGGATATTGGTTCCGAATTTATGTGCTCTTTTTTTACCGACGTCGCACTCTTGGAGACCATAGGTTTTATTTGTGATTACATTTATCCATCAGATTTGACACTTGACATTTTTAGGGGAAAACTGGAGCTTGGTCGATTGAATGGAGAGATTGGACGAAGGTACGTAGATGATATTTTATGGTAGTATCAAATGGTTCCGAAATGAATGCTCTCCTGACCAACTTCGACCAAGCACATCCCTCTATTCAGTTCACTTATGAAATTGAAGGTGACAACGCTTTTCACTTCCTGGACGTTAAGTTAGACTTTCCACGGGTTCAATTTAGAGGTCTCTCTACAGAGAGCCCACGTGGACGGAACAGTACACAAACTTTCTGAGTTTTGTGCCACTGAGGTTGAAATGAACACCGATTTAAACTTTAACGAAGCAAGCAAAACGTATTTGCTTTACTGATACACTGGACTCTGAACTGCAGCACACTGCTAAAGTGCTCCGAGCCAAATGATTACCCGGAGAGGGTTATAACCAAGAATATGTCCGACTGACCTATCCAACCGTTGGAAACATGACCGTTGGAAATAGGCCAATATGCTTGAGTTTGTCGTATAAAGGCAATCTGTTGGCGGGCATAGCCAATCACCGCTCTTTCAATACCTACAAGGCACGTTTCCGGGTATGACTCTGCTGTATCGGTTTACCACAAACACTTTGCTCAACTTAAACCTCAAAACAAGATGCCAGTCCTCATCCAGAATATTATTGTGTATTCTTTCTCCTGTTCTTATTCAGCGGAGTATATTGGGCGCATGACACGGCAACTTTCTAAGAGAATAAGCGAGCAACTCTCTTAGCTCTCTTACCATTAACCTCAACAGTTCAGCCAGAAGCTCAACTGCGTCCAACCTAAGTGACACCGGGCACGTAGTCAAATGAGTCATTTCAAGTCATTTACTGTGTGCCAAATAGACTGCCAGTGTCTATTCAACGGTGTACCTTGACTACAGCCGAGGCAGTCACTATACGCCCGTGAAACCCGGTACTGTTCTGTCAAAAACGCTTCGTAGGATTGGTGAGTTTGCCTTGGTCGTGTGACACGAATAAACCGGCCAAGTCACTCATCGGCTCTCTTGACTGTTTCACAGCACCCAACTAGATATGACAAGGTGTGGAGGGGTGTGTGCAGACAACCAATAGTTCGTGTCTCCACGTTTTGCATTTCACTAACCTATCTTCGTAGCGTATTTCACTAGATATGTACTGACCTGATGAAGAGATTCCGAAAACATTAATGTTCGTCACTGTGTTCTTTTTTCAAATCATGGGAGATATTTGGGTAAGTGGAGATAATAATAAAGATGATCGCTCGGCTGTAACACCCCTTCGGTGCCTAGCTGCCATCCTACCCGAAGGAAGCACGAGAGCATAGACAGGAGAAGTCGAGATGCAGAGGTAGGGTTCGGACTACGAACCCTCCGGTCAGTGAATTCGTTCTCTGACCACTGAGCCCTTTAGTAATGCTGAGACTCAATTGAGCGGTCGATATGGATTGGAACCCGGTACGTACGGACAATGATGACGGTTTGCTTGAGATGACCCAAGGCTATTTTATGCGCTACTGACTTCCGAAATAGCCCAAGTCCTCTTGCCATATGTTGTCCTTCAGATGCGTGCATATCTGATCAAAGTATGGGCTGGTTAGTTGTATGGCTGTGAGACTTAGCCTGTTTGAGCAGCGGAACTGGGACCTTTTCAGATGGTCGACCTGCATTGCCTATGTCGAACCATCTTTTACCGAAGGGATTGCTGTTCTCCCTGTCTACTTCAGAGTGACGGAAGCAGAGACGTGGCCAGTCCTTGACCTAGCAAAGGAGTATAAAGGGACTACGGAACGTCTGGGTGCTGTTTGTGATAATCTCCCTCTGGGCTGAAGGTCGCGTGATCCTCGATGTATCTGGTTAATAACGCTGCTGATCGACGTCGGTGGCGCCCTTAATTTCAGATTTCATCCAGATTTCACTAATAGGGCTCGAGGTGTAGGGATCCCGGAACGATTGTGATAAACTAGAACAAAGTCCCCTTCCACGTCCGCTTCTATTCTTTTCCTGATAGCAAAGATTTCAAACACATCATGGTTGTACGGCAGCGAACCATCCGTGTCGAACACTGGTGTCATACTATCGATGCTGATGCTGATAATAAGCTTCTCGCTGGAGTGTCATGTGCACAATCAACCAACCTCTCCATGCTAGCGACTTCTGTCACTTACTGCTGCTGGCTTCTGTGAGAACACTCGATTTGTTACGTTGAACGCAAAAGCCGCGTTCCATAGAACCAAATAAGGCTGTGAACAAGCACCACAACTCGGTTTTACGAGTATCATTTGCAACCAAAAAAGATTCAAGTTGTGGCGAGATTGCGTTGGATCAATGAGTTGGTCTGTGTACTAAAAACAACACAGTAACAATCCAGTCAGCTGACTGTCAATATAAGCAGGGCAGCCTACACATATACTGCAATAATAAGAGAGGGTCAGCTTAGCACTGCTGGTGTCTAAATTGGAAAAGACACTGCGTTGAACATGACAACAAGTACTTGATAGTTTTCAACGTTTTGCACGTATCATGTGTGGGCCGCTCAACAACACTCACAGCAGGGAAATGAAATGATTGACGCACCAGCGTGACAAACTCGAATAACTGCACCAACACAAATGGATATGACAGTAAGTCTGACCTACTTGGATGCAGCTTTCAGGCTGGACCAGTTTGGAAGTGGTATGAGCAAATGTGATTCCTTTGCCTTTAAACTGTCTACTTGCGGAAATCAGAAATTAAGCTGACCCAATGGTAACTGTCTTTGGTACAAAGCAAAGGAAGTGGGACAAGAAAGCCCAATGATTGTCACCCTTTGTTGCTTTACTTGAGTGAAAACATGGATATGGTATTCAAAACTGTTTGTGATGTAATCGTGGAGCTGAATTTCCCCGAGTTACAGCAAATTCATCGTCATTAGTTTTGATCTGTAAATCTTTACGCTACTGATTACTGGGCGTTAACGCTGTTCATCCGTTAATCAGTACGATTTTGGTGTCTATCGATATCCAGTGAACCGAATGGAAGCATATATTCCCGTTTCTAATGTTTTAGCTCACGGTACTACTATTCAATGCTTTTACTAATCGCTATCAGGGGCATCTACTAAGAAACAAATATTCGTCCCAGTTTTCAGATATTGAATGCTTAGCATATGCCAGCAGGGCCTGAACTCAATTCAGTTTATTTCCCCCCACTGCTTTCTTACAGTATGTATAATTTTGTACTGTCATTCAAAATGTACGATTGTCACCATCCCCATTGTTTGCCAGTGATAGCCCAAAGATTCACACTTAATTCCTTGGGTCCAGTTTTTCTAAGGACCTAGGTGCGACTCTTCCAAGCAACACATTGCCCAAAAGTTATAAAAGCTTTCTTGCATGAGCGACTTTAAATCATAATGGACGTTTGCTTGATGAATGGCAAAATTATTTGACAAAACCCCTTCTCATCCCATTCAATCAATTTGACTCGCATGAAAGACGTTTTCACCAACAAGCATGCAGCACGAAGCAGGCTCAGTTAGCTTTTGCTCCATAGAAATGGAGTCACTTTGGGTACGGATTAAATGTAAAATATCTTTGCAAGCGCTGAGCATTTTCTCAAGTTTTAAGAACAAACAGTATCGCTGCTCGGTCTTTGCCTTTGGTTTATAAAATTCGGCAATCGTTCGTCCCTTAACCACGGCGTCAGTTAATGCTTTACACTAATGATTATGCCACCTCGTGGGCTTTGGATTATGATAATTGTAGCGTTTAGACCAGCGGTTTCCGACAAAATAATCAAGCGAACTGCTGCTGTCTCTTCGATTGACGAATTCATCATAATGACTTGACTACTACCTACACGGTTGACTGGTCCAAATGATTTTGATACCTGAATCTGGATGCCTAATTCAGTGAAGTGTGTGACGACTGCGTCTTTGACAGCTTTATTAACCGTACTCTTCAGACGAGCAATATTCTTATGTGCGTCTCTGTAGGCCTTCGGCCTTGACTCATACGTAGCCCGATCCATAGGGCAAAGTAAACAACCAAACAAAAGGTTTTCAGCGTCAGAAATTCTGTCTCTGTACACTAAGAAGATTTTTCCTTATATAATGAGAAAATATTTGGAGGTAGACTGTGTGAAATTCCCCAGATAACATCTTTCTTTGTAGCTGGAGGATCATCGCTATTCGAGGAGTGCACGTTTACTCACTAATTTTCTGCCGTTGTTGAGTTTTTTCTCCAATTCTGTTTCACCTTGAGACAATGAGTATATAAACAAACTGATTTATGTGATTCACCGGATGAAGAAGAGTAGTAAAATGGTTGTTGTATTCAAAAGACAGTCAAATATGTGGTAGTCTCAATCCTAAATTTTGCTCTGTATGTGAAAATGAATGGTGCGTAAAATGCACTGTTATTATGTTACGCCTGAGACTGCATCACGAATTGTGTACAACTTACAAACCACGGGAGGTATCACGGTACGTGACCTTCCACAGAGATG